CAAATAACCCAACAGGGAGCTCCTTTTTATCAAGAGCTGTAAGAATCGAGTTAAGCATACTAATAAGTGCATCGTTAGTGCTTTTTTTGGGTCTGAAGCCATATTGGCAAGGGCTAAGTATATTGAGTTTGGCTAGATATGAGTAAAGCTGCTTGTATATAAGTTTTTCAAAAATTTTTGACAAGTTTGGCAGGATTGATATAGGTCTGTAGTTGTTAACATCTGTGGGGTCACCACATTTGTGGACAGGCGTTACTCTCGCTTTTTTTAGAATATCTGGAAAGGTTTGGAGTTCAAGTGACTTGTTGAAGAGCAAAGCAATAGCAGGGGCTAAAGATCTGGAGGCTTTTTTGTAAATTAAAGTTGGTATCTCCTCAAGGGCACCAGACTTGGTTTTAAGGGAAAGGATTATCTCATTGACGTCAGTGGAGTTAATAGGCTTTAGGTACAGAGACTGTGGATAGTTACCTGTAAGATAGTCCTTAATGTCAGTACTGGAAGATGGAATATCATTTGCAAGGGATGAACCAATGGAAGAGAAGAACCTATTGAACTCAATAGCAGAATCAGAGGCTGAAAGCTGACCATCGTTATTAGACAGGAGAGTCGGTTTGTTATTTAAAGATTTCTTTGATCCCAATATTTGTGAAATTGTGCTCCAAGTTTGTTTAATGTTGCTCTTTATTTGAGTAAATTTATCTTCGTAGTAATTAGTTTTGGCTCGTCTAATTATCTTAGTTAGCAATAATGAGTAATTCTTTGAGAATTCTTTGGAGACAATTCCTAACCTATACTTCTTCTCAAGGTCGTGTTTTTTGTTAATGGATTTCAGTATTCCCTTTGTAAGCCAAGGATTGTTAAGCCTTTTGCTTGTGACTTGTTTTGTAAGCCTAGGACAGTGGGTGTTATAAAGGCTAAGAGTTGTTTGTAGAAAAGATTGCACTGCTAGGTTGATGTCCCCTATGTTACCTAATTCGGACTCCCAGTTGACATTATCAGCAGCAGTTATAAAATTGTTTATAGCAGTTTCATTGTGCAGCCTAAAGCTTAACTCCCTTGTTTCTAGAGGTGGTTTGCTAATGTTAGTTAAGAGAAATGTGGGGTAGTGGTCTGTAGTGCTATCGGTGATTATACCTGAAGTAAGCGGAGAGGTTATGTTGGTCCAGATGTGATCTAGAGTCGTGGCAGTGCTATCAGTGATTCTAGTAGGTCTAGTGATTAAGGGTATGAGGAGGCAGGAATTCATACAGTTGAGGAAGCTAACAGCAGTAGGGTGTTCTGGCTCGCAGAGGTCAATATTAAAGTCCCCTGCGATAATTAGGTGGTTTTTGTTCAGTCTGTTATCAAGTATTAGATTTCTAAGGTTTGAGTTGAATACAGACACATCAGTGTCTGTAATCACGTGTTCCAGCATTTATTACGTCATCTGGTAATTTGCTCCATAAATTAACAACCGTTTCCAAAACAGTATTTACCCAGGTGTTAACTGAATCTAAGCTCATCTAATTTATATTCATTGTTTCGAGTTCTATTTTGTGTTGATTTCAGAGAGCGTTGGCCTGGCTTCGGTATATAGTTGACCACAATCAGGTGCCCATTGAACACGTTAATTGTAAAAGATAATTGTTCCCCCGAAACATGGCTGACGAGAGCACCAGCTGGTGGACTATAGCGCCGGAGGAGCTCACTTAATCATGGAACTACAGACTCGGTGCTTCACGAAGCTCAAATTGCTTTTTGAAGACAGCGTCTTCTTTCCTCCAGTCGCTTCTTCCTCGCTCGGTGTTAGTCTTGGCGCGCCAAAGTATTTAAAACTCGGCCACTTAAGAACTGACAGAGATATTTAAAACACCCTTCACTTAGCTTATTTCTTTTCTTAAAGTATTAAGAAAGATAAGGTCAGGCTGATATGGAAAAACGTTGGGCTCTTTTAAGATGGCGAATAGGACTTGAAGCCCAATTTCTCCAATTTTGATGTCCTTGCTGAACGGATTTGCTAGTCGACAAACACTAACATTACACTAACAAAGGGAGCCGGTCGGCCAAGTGGACGGCACACTGGACTTGTGATCCTGTCGTCCCGGGTTCGATCCAGGGCGCCGGCGAGAAACAATGGGCAGAGTTTCTTTCTCCCTAACCCCTGTTACCTAGCAGTAAAATAGGTACCTGGGTGTTAGTCAACTGTCACGGGCTGCTTCCTGGGGGTGGAGGCCTGGTCGAGGACCGGGCCGCAGGGACACTAAAGCCCCAAAATCATCTCAAGATGGAAGAAGATCGGGTGCTCCAGTGGATAAGGGAGTACCTAGGCAATAGGAAGCAGAGTTACTGTGAGGGGCGACACCTTCGATTGGCATGAAGTCACAAGCGGAGTCCCACAAGGTTCTGTACTCGGACCTATCCTGTTTCTGATATACATAAATGATCTTCCAGAGGGGTATAGTCGACGCATTCCTTTCAATGTTTGCTGATGATGCCAAAATTGTGAGAAGGATTAAGACCGAGGAAGACAGTATGAGGCTTCAAGAAGACTTGGACAAACTGAAGGAATGGTCCAACAAATGGTTGTTAAGAGTTTAACCCGACCAAATGTAAGGTTTACACTAATTGATGAAAAACTATTAAATTGTTAGTTTCTAAATCCATTGTCAGTGAATTGCCATCTTTGGAGAGTTTCACCTGTTTGTTATACGAGTGTTATTTCGATCCTAGGATATTTGAAATGGGTTTCCGTGTGGTTTTCATGTTTTCTTTTGCTTCTTTATATCTGTTTTCAAAATAGGATAGTTTAGCTCCTTTTATTATATTGGTGAGCAGCTAGGTGGGCAGCTGCCTCCTTAGAAGGAGCCTCAACGATGCATGCCAAACAGGGTGGGAATAAAGGTAACATAGATAACCAGAGTCAAAAAAGTGCTTGTGTATGTGTAAATCATCAGGGCATGTCTGGTCAGTCACAAGCATTAAAGTATTTAGGCTGAGTAGAGGGGACCAAACAGATCATGATACTTGCCTCAGTGGTTGAGGGAATTATGCGTGTTGCTGTTATGATACAGTAGTCAAGAAGCCACTCCAGGTGATGAGGTGGCTACCACTGGGAACTTGGAGTTTGAAACTACCAAGGAAGTGGGAGGGGATAAGTTGGGTGAGCCAAGTTGAGCATGATCTGACCCAGAGTTATAAAACCCAATCTTCTATTCTATCACTGTCAAACATGGGGGCTTTGTTGCCCACTCATCAAGCCTGTTTTTTGACAAGTGCTTTTGGCTTTAATGAACATCATTTTTGTCCAAATTTGGGCCCCCAGAGCCAAGAAATACCACCTTCCAGAGCACTAAAAGAGACCAAGTGCTAGGCCAGTGCAGGGAAAGTGTGTCATCCCAAGGGATGCTCCCTCTTTTTAACAAGGAAGTGCTAAAGCATCGTACATTCTCCCATAGCAGTGCAAAGACTTTCTTTATCCCTTTCGCCCCAGCTTGGACACCCAATCTACTCCTAAAGGTGGACCTCTTACATAGGGAACCGGTGGCTGAGCGGACAGAATACTGGACGCATGATCCTGTGGTCCCGGGTTCGATCCCGGGTGCCGGCGAGAAACAACGGGCAAAGTTTCTTTCACCCTGATGTCCCTGTTACCTAGCATTAAATAGGTACCTGGGAGCTAGTCAGCTGTCACGGGCTGCTTCCTGGGGGTGGAGAGCTGGTCGAGGACCGGGCCGCGGGGACACTAAGCCCCGAAATCATCTCAAGATAACCTCAAGATATAGGTGGTTTGATGACCTGAATCAGTACCCCTATGTTGGCCTCCTCTGTATGTACAACGTCCAAAGAGGGAACCCAAGGTAACCCCACCGGCCCCAGGAAGTCATGCATGATCCCCCTCCCCGAAGAGTCGAAACCTTTCAGGGGACCCTGAGAACATTAGCACAATAGTGTCTCACAATTTAGTCTCCGTGGTATAGTGGTAAGACACTCACCTGGCGTTCCGCGAGCGCTTTGTCATGGGTTCATATCCTGGCCGGGGAGGATTTACTGGGTGCAAATCCTTGACTGTAGCCTCTGTTTAACTCAACAATAAAATGAGTACTTGGTTGTAAAAACGATTCTTCGCGGCGGGGATCGTATTCCAGGGACCTGCCCGAAATGCTACGCGTACTAGTGGCTGTACAAGAATGTAACAACTCTTGTATATATCTCAAAAAAAAAAAATAGGAATACAAAGTCCCAGAGGGTCAGACCCAGTCGTATTGTGAATTACTTCTAACATTCTGTACAGCTTGTATATAATTTTAACTATATACTGTCTAACCTTGTCTAGTACAGGCAAAAAAGTATGGATGCTGGTTAGCATTGTAAAAGCACTTTACAATCAATTTATGTGGTCGAGTGCTTAATAACCCACTGCACTATATGTAGGAAACAGATCTCTAACCCTGTCTGAAAGACAGACAAGAATGAATGTATGGTGTTAGCATTGTAAAAGCACTACAGTCATCTGTGGTTGAGTGCTCAGTAACTCACTATACTTTAAGATGTCTAACACATCTCTGACTTCGTTCATAGATGGCAGAAGAAAATTTATATATATATATGCAGGTTACCATGTAAATGAATGGCCATGACCCCGGATTTATAAAGCAGTTACGCAAGCACTTGTGAACCTGTACATTTTGTCTCAATCTTTAGTGGCTTTGTTTACAATTATTAAACAATTAATGAGCTACGAAGCACCAGGAGGCTGTTTATAACAATAACAAAAGTTGATTGGGAAGTTTTCATGCTTGTAAACTATTTAATAAATGTAACCAAAGCCATCAAAGATTGAGGAAAGATGTACACGTTCGTAAGTACTTGCGTAACTGCTTTATGAATCCGGGTCCTGATCTGTGGAAAAAATAAACTAAAAAAAAATTCTGGTAGTAACAGTAAGAGAACACTGCTTGGTCTGTAACTGCTCTGTATGGCAATTTCACACTGGAGGTAACTCAAGACAATAATACTCGACATGATTTTTGCAATTTATTATTACTAGGTAACAGAACAGTTGCTGATTATAATTTTAATCTTCACAGCTTATATTTTCATCACATATTTATTTGGCATATTCTTTTGATAACTTTCATCACATATATTGTATTTTATCCATCACTGTAGATGCAAAATATGGATACATGCAGTGCAAGAATTTCTGATATTTTATCATTTGCAATCAATGATAAAATATCTATTTCATGGAAGACAAGTTTAGAGCTCTCTCTAAATGGTTAAATTCTGTTTTGGCTGCCCAGAGGTACCAAACATCTTTTCATTGAGTTTTCACTGGAACTACAATGACAATTGTAGTCAAGATTTTTGAGGTACGAATGTCCATCCGCAGTTTTGGAGTTTTGTTACATCAGGTGAAGTGATAAAAGAGGGAGAGGCGTGAAGCGCCCACGACCTGCCATCACTGGTCTTCCTGGGCAGCTCACACAAACCCTCCACAGGCAAGTATGTATGTCTTAGTAACTTCAAGGTTCTCAACTCTTGCAACTGTGTTAGAGGTTCCACTAACATGTCAAAACTCTGTATCTTACCATCAATTACAAGTGTCTGCAGTTTAGGAAACATGTTCAAGAGACACTTTACAGGTTCAACTTTCTTATCGGATGTTGAATATTTGAGAGAAGTTATATTTTCAAAACATTTAATTTGTTGGAGAATAATACTGTGATCACATTGCATTCCACTTTTGAAGGCCAAGGTTAAATCATTAAGAAGTGGACATAATTGCAACAATGAAGAAATATCTCCTTGACGTACTTTATAGCAGTTATCAATATAAAGCTTTAGCACTGTTAACTGCTGTCCAATTCCAGCAAAAGCCTGAGTAGGAATTTCGTTTGGGTGTAAAAACTGTAAGTCCATATGAAGTACTCTCAAAGATGGGAAACTGTCAGGAAGCTTCAGAACTTAATTAGTAATATTTGCACAATTTTTGATGGCAAGAATCTTCAGTTCTTCAAGCTCAGGTGCAACACATGACAAAATGTCTATAAAACCTTCACCAGACTGCATAGTGCTGGTTTTTAGAGAGAGAGTGTGGATACTTGATATTTCTTTTCTTAAGTTATTAAATGCATGGAGAACAGTGTGCAGACTAACCAAGTTACTTGCTAAACATTGCAATTTTGTAAAAACCACCAGAATTAGCAACAGGAAATTAACTTGCACATGACAATATCCAGTAGAGAAGTCAGAAAGCTGAGGCCACGATAGACCTCCAGTTATTGGCTTTCCTTCTCGAACACTTTCCAGTAGCCTTATTGAGCTCTGATTGCCAGCGCCAATCATGATATCCATTAAGACTGCTTCTGTGACTCGAGGTTCCCAAGCAAGTCGTTCACTTATGTGAAGAATTGTAATAGGACAGTTCATGGCTGCACGCAGTACCTCTGGTGTCGTGTTGCCCCCCAACTTGACAATAGTGAGCTTGGGGCACAATGGCAACAGTGCCAACAGTACACTCATATCTTCCATCAGATCAATTCCTGTTACATCCAGCTCTTGTAAAAGGTTTTCACCAATAAAAACATCTACTGAAAAAAAGGCTGAGGAGTTCAGGATTGCTAACTGCCGATCTACCTGCACGAAGGCAATTTTGTGAGTTTTAACAGCTAACATAATCAGGAGTGAGCGAGTCACATCGTGAACGCCATGATTTTTTGCTTCAAGGCAATCATGTATTAGATGTGTGTGCAAGAGGTGCGTGGCACGATCTGGAACACGTGGTGGCAGGTACCAAAGATCTGCCCACAGCTCACCCACATCCTTCCAGATGGCCTGCAACACAAACATGTATGAATAATGCAAACTCTCTAGTTTTTGTCCCAACATACACTAATAAAATGGTGAGTACAGTGGAACCTCTATTAACGAGTTTAATCCGTTCTGGCACCGAGCTCGTTACCTGGAAAACTCGTCTTAAGAAACAAATTTCCCCATTTAAAATAAAGGAAATAAATTTAATCCGTTCCACTTCCAAAAACATCCATACTTGTACGACTTTTTTATGTAAATATAATACTGCACATGTAAATATAAATGTTTTGTTGTAGTGTTTTAATATTTACTTTACCTTATGAAGAGTAGTTGCTGGCTTGAGGGAGACGATGGGGAGGTGGGAAGGAGGAGAGGGGTTATGGTGTGGAAGGAGAATCCACCTCTGAGTCAGGCGGACTCTCTCTTCTTGGGAATTTCACCCAAATTGCATTTCAAATGTCACACAAGGATGCGTTAGACCAGCACCAAATAAAAAAACTACGTCGATTACACTCGTTGTGTCAACAATATAATAGTCTTACCACGAAGATACAATACAATGCCGTTTTCTCAAATAGGCAATGTGGTTATTAAAGAAAACGGAAATTTCATGGCAAACATGTATACACTTCCCAAGTCGATCGGATAAGAATTGGATTTTATAGAAATATTTGCTCAAATGACGCTTGAGCGCGGTGTTTGGGTGCATTCAAGAGAAAAAAGTGTGTCACGTTCAAGCGACATATACCTGCGAAAGTGATAACACTTTCATAAAGTGTTATCACAAAGTGATAAATTAATTAAACATTTTCACACACCGGGTTCTCACTGCTTTATCAGGGCAGCTTTTCCAAGAACGCGTTCACTTTTTCAAACATTCCAAACACTTCCCTGATCTCAGTGGAAGAGGCAGCATCCTCCCTTACCTCCTCATTCCCTTACTAATGGTGTAAATTGTTGATGAGGACCTGCCATACTCCCTTGTGAGATCAATCACACAGACACCACACTCATGCTTTGCTATAATTTCCTTCTTCAAATCCACAGTAATTGTGTCTTTCTTCCTCTTGACAACACTATCTTTAGCAAGCAGCTTCTTTGGAGACATCGTGTGTTACAAATTGTAGTTGCAAAACCACTAAAAACCCAAAGAAAAGCTCAAATAAATCCAGAGGGATGCTTGTCGTGCACGATACAACAACAGCACTGGAGTCGGAGGCGTTCGAGAATTTGCGAGAACCTGCGAGATGCTAGGAAGCACCATGTGGTTTTGCTCGTTAATAGAGGCGAGCTTGTCAATAGAGACAAATTTGCTGCGAGTGGCTTGCTCGTTACTGGAAAAACTCGTTAATAGAGCCACTAGTTAATCAAGGTTCCACTGTATATCCAAGAAAAAATATAATTCAATACAGTATGTATGTATGTGTTCCTCAAAATCTAATAATTTAAACAAAATGCAATAATACTACTTACACAAAGCACATGCATGTCCAATAATGTGTGTGAAAAATAACACCTAAGGCAAAAAAAGAAAGACTTTGTGGTACATTACTGCTCGGCTTAGACTCGGTTACAAGTATCTCTGGGAATTCTCATTATCAGCTAATGTAGACCTAACCAAACATAAACTGTGTCAACAAAATTATTCATACACCCTCTGTCACTGTGATGGAGTGCAAAAAGATATGTGAATTCAGAGACAATTCTATAACGAATGTTCCAATGATGTGTAAATATTTCATTCAAAATGATCTGCTACCAGAAATTTTAACCAAATATCCCCAGTTTGCTAAATGTAGGTAGTGTAGCGAGTAAACTTATACTCGCTTCATTATCTCATCACCTTAATGGCATAACTAATTACACAAGCTATAATCCTATCCCTATTTACAGGTAACGGTTTTTCCACCCTCCTATCTTACTGTGAGGTGTAGTCACCGTATATAAGCCAGCGATTTGAGAATAGCAAACCAGTACAATCTCCAGTCAAGAATGTAGTACTCGGCGTGGGCAATTCTAATCGACCCAAGACGCTACAGCATTGACACAGAGCAGACAGCAGACTACGACCGCATCCAGCTACAACGCTCTTGCTTCCCGAGTTCAGACACTCGCAATTCCCAATTGAGCTGCCACGCTCTCCTGCATAGAGCTCCACGACTCCGGCCACTCAGCTCTCTGCTCTGCTCCAGGCTTCGTCTCAACGTCTACGACACTGCTGTATCCAGGACTACTAAATAAATATGAAATTCACTAAACACTGTGTATCTAATCAACCCAACAAAGTAACATAAACGTACGTTACAGTAGTAACTAAGTGATTGTAATCTATCCACCGCTGCCCACTGGATAGGGGGGGGGGTGCAGTGTGCAGGACAAACTTATCAATTGTGACACTAGCTCTCCACATATGTCAATTGCTTAACACTTTAGTGCGCGCGGCACTCGCTGAAAAAAAAAGCGGGTTGTGCGCGCGGCGTTCTGGGCGCTCAAGAGTAAACACAAAAAAGTTTATAATCTTTTCACGCTCCTAACATCAATTCTCAAGCTACGTTTTTCATTTTGGTATCAATGCGTTGGCAATAAAATTCTCTACAAGATCATATGCATAAAATGTCACCCAAGCATTTGCTATCCCACCACAAAGTAAATAAACACGAAGATGACTCGTCGTGACACCCAAACAGGAAGTAAATGTTCATACTCTTTCGTTTGTTGCCAGCCTCACAGTCATCCTACAGCGCTTATTTTGATATCACTGAACTCGCAATAAAATTCCCCACCCAGACATATGCCTATCAACGTCTAATTATGTTCCGCACGAGTGTGGGAACTGGGCGAAGCGTTAGCCGTGATTTCAGCAGCGACGACACTGTTGTGATGCAGCGCTTTGAAAGTTTATACTTATTTCACTGTCATGACATTATTTCTCGAGCTACGTATTTCATTTTTATAGCAATGTGTTCGCAATAGAAAGTTCTATAAGAACATGGGTAGAATTGGCCAACAGAGCGTCAAATAAATTTGCGGCGAATAAAATCTTACGCGAATCTTACGCGTGTTTGTACCCATGAGCGTAAAAAGTTTTTACTTTGCTCATGTTTTTTCAAGTTTATACTTGATTCACTCCATTTTTTTTTGTTTGTATAGTGTTCGGAATAAAATTCTCTACACAGACATATGCATATAAATGTAGAATCATGATCGCGGCCAACACAAGAGTGTGTGGAGTGCGCGATTACCCTCGTTGTGTCACCAATTCAATAGTCTCTCCTCTAAGTTACAATACATTGCCGTTTTCTCAAAAAGGCACAGTGCCTATTAGAGAAAACAAAAATTTAATGGCAAACAGATTCATACAAACCCCAAGTCGATCGAGTAGTAAATACCCAATATAACACGGTCCGTAAATTTACGTTGTGATCCGACAAGCGGTTAAGCAAAACGCTCGTAATTCCAAGTGGAAAATCCAGGATAGTGTTAATTAATTTAGAAACTGTACTTGTGGTCGATCTCGAGCCCATTGATGATATGACAACTTATACTGAATTTTGTAACTAGCTCGTCAAGAGTGTAACTTGCTTAGCTAAATGAATTGTGGGGTTTAGTCCCTGAGCCCATTATGTGCCTCTGTAACCCTTTCCACTACTGCCCACAAGATGGGTATGGGGGTGCATAATAAATTAACTAAACTGTTGTGCAGGGTGTGAGAGAGTTTGCACTGTGTCTTAAGTGTTACATCCCTTGACCTCTGGGTATGGTTCCTCTGTTGCAGTGGTTAGGAAAATCTATGACAATACGGCCTTGCCTACTTACGTGTCTAGGGGGAAATAAATGAAGCCGCTGCTTATTTAACAAAGCAATATACTTAAAGTAAGGGTAACAAGAACATACAAATATATAAATGGAAATACAGACAGCTAGAAATATTAATGCACCAGAATACAACACAATATCCTTATACAAACACAGATCAATATATTACAACTTAAATGGATAGATGGGTAATGCACATAATGGTCTAACCAGGAAATCAACTAATATTACTGAACAATAACAGGGACACAGACTTAACTCCACAACATGTCCACACCAGCCAGTTCCACCCACGTGACTGCGTTGCTCGAGCATGCACGGCGTGGCGTCTACAAGTTACCAACTAAAAAACCCACATGAACCTCTAGAATACTCTGCTAACAGAGAGTATTACTAAAGAACATAATTATAACTAACGTATATGTATATAACATTGCTAATGTGTAAATAAGAAATTAAGTACAATCAATAAGCAGGAATAATTATAAGGGTGAATCAGTGACGCTAGCTGGATACACTGCACACATTACTGGAACATCCCAAATATGGTCATCCCCCCATGAGACACCACTGTCTCCCCCCACAGGAATGAACATGCAATAGCCTTAACAAATATTCAATACAGACACACTAAAGCATGCTACATTTAAATCAAACATATATATACTGGGACATAACTGGATACAATGTTTATTTAATTAACTGAAGAAAGAAAATAATTGACATGCATATTTATCATGATGAATGTTAGAATCAAATATATGGATTTGTAACACTAAGCAAGCTTCAAAATAACACCGTGGATACAGTCATTGTTGCTTTGCACAAAAATGTAGTGTTTATTACTAGAAGGAATGAGAAAACCATTTGGGGCAATGACATGACCTGAACCAGCATATTAGTGATGCCCAGACACCTGCCTTAACCCATTCGACTGGTTCAAGTAACCTCACAACCCTAAATTATTTTCTCATTGATATATTGTGATTTCTTGTGCACTAGAATGTGGGCACACATTCTAGTGCACTTTGTGCACTAGAATGTATGCCCACATTTGGTAGCTGACATCTCCCTGGTACACAAGAAAAACAAAATTGATTGAAGAATGTGATTTCATTGTGATTTCTTTGTGCAATAGAATGTTTGCCCCATATTTGGTAGCTGACATCTCCCTGGAATGCAAGAAAAACAAAATTAATACTGTT